CAGCTTAGCAGTTAAAATAATAATGTATATAAAGGCTGAGAATTTCCTTAACTCAGTCTTCAGTTTTCTAGTCAGTTCTCAAGTTCATCTTAGTTTTTGAATTAGTTAGGATTTATTAAGTAATAAAGTTAATATTACAAAATTTTTTGAGTTCCTTGTTTATTGTATTTATTTGATAATTGATAAACTGTTTGCTCCTATTAACAAGTCTTCATACCACTGTTAATAATAAATACGCCTCTTTCATAATTGATCATACTTAATTCCTTCTACGTATAAACTCTTGTATTGTGATTATTTTATCTTGAGATTAATAATTCTTATAGTTTTATTTAGTTTTGTTTATTAGTTTTAGTATTATTTTACCTTGTTGTCTTTGTAAATTGTAGAAGGTTTACATGGATAACAGTGTGGAAGTAATAATGATTTACAGCATCAGTGGTTTCTGTGATTGCATTTGAATTATTAAGTTTCTCAAGATGTATTAAGGTTTGACCATTCGTGTCAATGATACATTCCAATTCGACAATGTACTGAAACCTCACTAATTCAGCAATAGATTTATCCCTTTAATTAGATTTTTCTTTTGCAGATTGAACAAACCACCCAAAACAAATTATTGTGTTATTTGAATAATAACAACGTATCTGTTGAACCATAGATATACAAAGTCAGAAGCCTTATCGCTTCAATACTTGAATGAAATTTTTTACATAACTGAGTATACCCAATAATTGTTTGGAGAAGAATGACTGATCATTTGCAAAACAAAAACACAAAGATAACCTGGCATAAGGGAAGAATCTAATAGTGAAGCTAGTGTCAGCTGGAAGCTAGTTCACACCAAGACACATAAGAAACAATATATACTCAGTTTGGATCAAAAATAATGCACGGTGTGACAAGTCTTATTGGTAACATTATGATTGGTGTATGCTCATTTTGTTCTTTATTAAGCCTACATTTTTTATTATAGCGATCACTACGTGACAATTTCTTGGATGGTTTCTCTTGTGACATACTTATATAGAAAATAGAAAAAGGGTTTGTGGTTTTGCAAAAAAATGAGCGGGTATATAAGTCGATCACCTGATCAAGATTGGCTGTGCTAGTTTCTCTGATAATGCGTCGTTCTATATCTGGGATAATCATTGCATAATCTATTTCTATTTCGGGTGTATGTGTCATAGAATGTAATAGAAGAACAGTGCATGTTCTTTGTAAGAATTTTTAGCCCCTGAGATAGTATACGCGTTATTTAGGGAGGAAACTACGTGTTTAAGGGTTCTCATTTTTTTTACGATTTTTGTATTTTTTCTTGCACCTCAACAAAGCTATATTTTTTTACTATTTTTTATTATCATGTCTTCTGAACTTATTACTTCATATTTAAAAGAGTACAAGAATAAGTCTTTTTGGGGGTTTCTACTCCTCACCCGAGACGCGATTGTTCCCACTACTCCACTTACTTCACGTTGGTACGACCTTGACAAAACCTGGTGCGATCGTTTTTTATCAGAAGCAAGAAAGTTAGGTGAAGATTTAAAAGAAAAGGTGTGTATTTTTTTTGTTTTACAAGATTAGGGTAACTCCTAGTACATCGCGATCACGGTCCGGTCTGACTTAGGAGAATTACCGGGTATGACTGCTTGGTAACCACTCCAAGTTCTCTATTCGGGCACCCTAACTTTGTCGTTGGTAAAGGTCTGCTGATTCCGGAGGAGGAATCGATTATGTGTCTTCCTTTTGGGGCATGCCTTTTATCAGTTGATTTCTCTATACTATAGGGTTCGCCCTAAACCATTTGATTTTGGCATGCCCTTACCACTAAATAGAAAATTACACACTGTTAACACTGATAAATGCTTTTCTTACAATAGGTCAATCGGGAACGGCAACGTAATAACTTGGAAGAATATTGGAATGACATAATCAATGAATGTAAAATAGTAAGTAAATCACTTATTTTGCATTTATATGTTAGCTTTAACATTATTTTTAATTATTCTTCTGGAATTAGAAACAAAAAATTGAGTGCCTTCAGCATGAATTATCTGAAATCAACGAAAGAGTAAGAGTAGAGAATGCCAAATACAATAATATCAATAATAATAATAATGATAATGAAAATAATGATAAAAATAATAATAATAATAACAATAATAATAAAAATAATAATGATAATGGTGATAATAGTGATAATGGTGATGACAATAATACCGATGAAAATAACAATGATGATAATAATAATGATAATAGCAACGATGATAATAATAATAGTAATAATAGTAATAGCGACAATAATAATAATGATGATGACGATGATGAAAATAACAATAACAATAATAATAGCAATAACGATGATAACAACAATAACGATAATGATAATGGCGATGACGGTGATGGTAACAATGGTGAAAATAATAATAGAAACAATAACAATAATAATGACAATAACAATAACAATAATAATGATAATAATAATGGTGATGATGGTGATAGCAGTGATAACAATGGTAGCATTGCTGGCAGTTCTATGCGACAAAAAAAGAGAAGACGAATTAATCATAATAATAATGATAATGATAATAGTAATAGTAATAACAATAATAACAACAATAACAATAATGACAATGGTGATAACGGTGATGAAAATAATAATAATAACAATAACAATAATAATGACAATAACGGTAATATCGACAATGTCAGCGAAGATAATAATAACACAACAATATCATCACCATCATCGCCAGCAATAACAACAACATCACCACCATATAATCTTCGTACAAGAAGACCCAATTCCCCTAGCTATAATTGTGGTCGTGTAATTAAGAAATATCGAAAAAAAAATAAACCATCACCACGACCATCATCACGACCATCACCACGACAATCACCACAACCATCACCACGACGACCCTCACCACGACAACTATCACATGATGATTTTGATTTTTTTGACAATGGCGGTGGTGGTGATGATGATAACAATGAATGTACAGGAGAATGCCCCAAACATTGTCGAGATGATTAATCCATTTTTTTATATTTTTATTATGTATTTTTATTAATAAAGATTTCGATTGGGGAAACGTACATATAATGTATCATGTGTTATTTTTCGTGTAATGTATAACAGTAATTTTTCTTGGTGTTTTTCCTTCTGGCTAGAAGTGAAATTTTTCTTAGCATTTTTCGTGTGATGTGATTATTTGAATATATCTGTATCTTATATAAAAAATGACTAACACACTATCTACTAATTTGTTAAGAGAATTAAATTCCAAGCTTGTGGCCGAGATCACTGAGATTAGAAAGAAGTATTCTGAAGTTGAGGCTGAGAATGTAAGCTAAAACAGGTCATAGAAGAGAAAGATTCGTATACGAAATTAAGAGATATAGAGCTTAATACCAGAATTATAGAATTGGAACGGTCTGCGAAGGAACATGCTGAGAACGCAAGACAAAGTCAGACAGAAAATTCTGAACTTAAGGATAGGGTTGCAAATTTAGAATAGGAATTCAAGAAGCGAGAATTACAATTATTGGCCTGCTCACCATTACCACCAATTTCCAAATCAGAAAAATGCAAATCTACCTCTCAAATCGAGAACCAGAATTTAATCATCACTTCACAAAAGAATACTAACATTTTGCAATCTTCAGTTTGTTTAGAATTACCAGTAATTTCTCGGCCGAAGGGTAGCTCACAATTATCCACCTCAACTATTGAAATTCACTCTGACAAAGAAAACAGTACAGGCTCTAAGGTTCCAAACCAGGTACAAAACATTATTTCTTCTGAAACGGATCTTGATAATATCACTTCTACCACATCTAACCTTAGTGAAATTGAGCAAAGCTCAGAATCTGCGCCGTCTATCTGCACAGAACCTAAATCATTGGAGGATAAGGAGATAAATGAATTTCTGGATTCAGTGTATAAGGAAAAGGTTAGTAAAGAGATAAAAGAAAGAAATAGAGAAGCAAAGCTCCTTATCTCCAATAATGTACTGACAAACCCAGGTCAATCGCACAAGAAGAAAACAGCACAAGATATTGTACAAGATGTATTTGATTCGCCTAAGCAAAGTTCAGGACTACAATTCACGAAAAATCATGTAACAGAAATTTCGCTTCCGACCTGAAAGGAAAAATTCCGGAAAATATCTGATACATTACAAACCATAGTTTGCTTATATGAAAAAGCATGCAATGCAGAAAACGAAACACTAAAAGCCAATCAAGCTGAAATTTTATGCTTGTATAACTATTTTAAGGAATTCTATTTTCAGGTTAAAGAAATTATGAGAGCGGACCAGATCGGTGAAAAAAAAGCAAAGGGAATAATTTATAATTTTATTATTAAATAAATCCCTGACACTAAACAAGAAAATTTATACAAAAAGACATATAGAGCTAGAAAGATTCATAAGCTATTCGAAAAGATAGGGGTGGATAAAATTAAGTATATTAAAACATATAGTGCAAACTCTATCTCGGAATTAACTAACGACAAAATTCAAACCATTATTGATTATTTCTCCAAGAATCCCAATACAGAATTGAGCAATGATCGAGATGAGTTTATCGACGATTCTTCAGATGTTTTGACAGAAGCTGAGGTATGCGAAGAAACTTTATCGGAAACAGAGGTAAGTACTATAACCACACCCTCTATCCTATTAACTCATACCTCCAATTCAGAAGATATGATAAGTAAAGATAACAAATCTTCATTGAATACTGAGGTAAGCACATCATCTATATCTTCATCCAATTTAACACATGACCGTACCTATTTCTGTAATAAAATAATAGAACAATATCCTAATTTATATAAAGATGGTAATAGTGAAAATGTAGATTATTACGGAATTGCTGATGAGACATTATGTCCTTTATGTAAATTAGATCATGATGGCGATGAAGATATAGAAGGTAGATATGAAATTAGATCCTATTATGTTAAATGTGAACAGCGTGGAATTGAAATTGAGGTAACAGCATGAATTTTAGATATCATAGATATCAGCTCCACTATCTTATGCTAATATAATTTGCTTAAGTCTTTAAGGGGTATGTTTATTTTTCGTTGGATATTGTTAATTTAAAGAGATGTGCAATCATATAAAACGGGAACATGAATACACAGGCGAAGACCAATAAAACATTAACTCCCGAATATTTGGAATGGTATAATAAATTTACTAGATTACCAAGTATTCGTTCCAAGTTATATAAAAGATACAAGAAAGAAACCGGTCTTGATCCCTGGTTAAACTCTGAAACTTCTGGATCCTCACAAATCAAAAAAGATGCAGGTAATTACATGAGTCATGATGGTATTATCAAGATTTCTAAGTTTCCAGAAGAAAAAAGTATAATTTATGAAACAGTACATAAACACTTCCCTTACCTAACATATATTAATTCAAATGCATGGTATTGAGATGTATTTAAATATACTGATTCAGAAGCTAAATATCCAATATGCAAAGAAGTTCATACACGATATTGTATATGGGATGATTGGAGCTGTCTAGATAAAAATGATCACTATTATCTCAATTGTTCATTTCATATTGATCAAAAGAAAGTTATAACTGCTGTACAAAGTTTGTCAAACAAAACTCAATCACTAATTCCTAGGACTAATCCAAATAAGATTTATCAATATGCCATCAAATATAAAATAGATCCTGAGAAATTTTCAGTCATTACTGAGGCTGAGAAAAAAAGATGGACCATGGATTGCTTCTGTAGTGACCTGGAGAAAGATATATGTTATTATCAAGGTGAAATAAAGAGGAAGGAAGACCCTAAAAAATATCATAAATTTTTAACAGATCGGGATAGGCTAGTTGGTAAAGAGTTATTATGTTGTGGTATACTAAAGAGTGGTTTAAGTACTGCATGGCTTGATGATCTTATGGAAGAATGGAAAAAAACTTATAATCAATTCATACAAATTTTTACTACGACGCATAAATCATTTCTTATGATTACACAAAATTACTCTATGACACATGCATAAATCACAGCTAACAATTAGATTTTCTATCACGTGTTTTATTCTAATTAAATAAATATATTCACATCTTATATAAAAAATTACTAAAATGCAATCCGAACTAGATCTATTGAAACAAGAGAGAGTCAGGCTTTTGGCTAGAATTGCAAAATTGGAGTAGATTGTGGAAGATCAAAATAAGCTTGAGATTAGAATTATGAAAAACATTGAGCTTAGATCCAGAGTCACAAAATTGGAACATATCACTGAAAACTGAGATAAGTGTAATACACTCTGATGGTGCTGGATATAGTAAATTAACTTTTTTTTCTATGTATATAAAATGGTTAGAAGATTAAGATCAAGTGCTACATGCTTATCACCTGAAGCAATTAATAATATAATTATTGTTATGGGTACAACAAATGCATTACTGATTCTAGCTAAAAAATATAATGTATCATATGCACAGATTCATGAAATATGGAAATTTGCTATTGTGATAAATAATTAGTAAAGCTGATATATATACATAACAAAAACATTTTTCTGTGATCACATGGGGTTGCTTCCTTGGAGCTCTATGTTACATGCATAAATTATAGCCACAATCAGATTCACACTCAATTATTAACGAAACATGAAATAAAAAATTAGGCACATTACGAAACATGAAATAAAAAATTAGGTGCATTTATACTAACACTATTAAAATTTATTTCATAGATTGTGACAGTTTGTTACAACGTCACGTAACTTTACAATGGATTTTTATTACAGAGTAATGAGGCTTTGCCTCTATTTTTTAAAATTGGCATAAATTACTGAAAGTTTGGCTAATATAAAATCAATGTCATCTTGAGATATATTTGCTATTATTGTAGTTGTAAAAGACCAAATTCATTTGATTTTATTAACCCCAATCTCATTAAAGATATCATAAATCTTTTGAACCCTTTCCTTTGTCTTTCGAAGTAAGCTTTTACTAACTGATTCAGAAATCTGAGTTCTAACCTCATTATTAACTAACTCTTGAGCTGTGCATTTGGGATTGGTTTTTCTGTAATGATTGAAGCGATCCTCCAATGCTTTTTTCAAATGAAAATAATAAAGAATAACATCTTAAGATGTTTTTTTATTAATATTTTCAGATTCTATAATTTTTTGATATAAATTAAGAAATTGATTGTATTTGTTACGGGAGCAAATTTAGATTACAAAATTTTTGCGTTTTTAGAAGTATCAGTAGATAACTCACTAATAAGTTTTTTTAGTATAAGCAAATCTTCCTTTCTAACCTGCTTCTTCATTTTCTTACTGGATGATTTGCTGGTAGACTCACTAACACGTTTTTTAAGTGAACTTGAATATAGTTGGAAGTTGTTAAATAAGTTTGAAGATATATCTATCAAATCATTAATATTCTGATTTTCAGGCATGCTATCAACCATAAATTCTACCTCCTTCTTGCAATCGGGCTTTGGGCATATTGAATATTTCTTGATAGAAGTTTTAATACAATCACGATGATATATATAGTTACAGACTAGTATGGTAATTGTGTTTTTTATTTCAAACAAAAAAAGTTCTTGATTACATAATAAGTACAGGTTTAGTTTGGGAATATTAATATTGCTTGCAATTTTTTCTAGAGATAAATCCTTAAGAATATTTAAGGCAAAAGTTTCGAGGCATGAAATATTAGTAGACATAACTTATATAAGTTTCTGAAAATACCTATTTTTTCTCACCTCATATTAGCTATATATCTACTCATATATCACTCGAAATTATTACAATTCAACTCGAATCGGCATTACGTCCAAAATGGTACAAAGATAGGTAAATTAGTTCATTCTTAGTGAAATTTATAATCAGAAAAAAATATGAAAATTAATAAAAATACCAATAGAAGGTTTATGTAAGAAATTGGATTATGTGAAAAACATGTGAATATGATCACAATTGACATTACAGGTACGTATTAGTGAAACTAGCAATGCTAACAATAATTTTTTTTTCCAATTAATAACTAACAATGATGTATTAATTAATTCATTGCTTTATTTATCTTGAAAATGATTGCAGATACAAAAATAAAATTTAAAAAATACATATAGCAATTACATAATACAAAAAAAAATTCTAATTATTTTCTTCTGGTTCTAATAAAGGTTCTATGAAGATATAAATAATATTATAATTGAGATTCTCATCAAAATAATCACTAATTCTAGCTCCTGATGACATATTTACATATACCACAGTTCACAGACGAAATGTACGAAGATTGTAGTTAACGTGAGTTAATCTATCTGGTAATAGGGGTTGAATTAGATCCCTAAGTGTGTCAACTGTTGATGTAGTAAAAATAGAAATTATGTGAATTCGATAAGGTAAATCATGGAATGCATTAATAAGCATAAAGAAGCAGTTAAGTTTAATGTTGATATGAGTAATATCACTCATTTTACATTTCCTAAATAAAAAGAATTATAGTGAGTATAGTTACTGTATGACTGCCTTCGACAATATTATTTTTATAGGTATTTTTTGCTGTAAACACATGTACCTTCTATAGTGAAACTAAAAGTACAAAGTGCTAAAAATTTATGAGAAGGTAAAGAGTAAAGTCTCCCTACAACCTGCTTATTTATAATATTTTTATTCGCTTGATCCAAAACTTAGAAAAATGATCCAAAATTGTCTGTTATTAAAATCATAAGTAAACCTATTACAATTCAACTTCCATATAAAGTGTTGTCATATGTCAAGATATATAAATATGTAGAGTATTGAGTCATAGGTGCATAAATAAAATCCCTTTTGATTCGAGATCGCGCAAAGTTGGTTAATCACAATGACGATCTGGAATTGTGAAATTTTCAAAGTTCCATAACTGCTATTTTTTGATAATGGCGCTAATAGAAATTAACACGTTCTTTGTCCTTATTATCATTTTCGTATGTTCTTATTGCAAAGCATATGTGGTATCACTGGTCGAAAATTGATAAAACATACACATATCGGATACCCGATAAGTGTAAAAAAATATTTTCTACACCTATCGAGTACCCGAAATATGTCCGATATTAGGAATACACCATGCACATATCGGGTACCCGATATGTGTATGTTTTATTAATTTTCAACTAGTGTATAGAGGATATCATCAGGAAATTTTTAAAGGCAAAATATTTCGAAAATTTTTGCCTCGTTAAATTTTCGGAGTTATACAACACCTTCGTAAATTTTTGAAAAAATTTTCGAAAATTTTCGAACCGTAAATCTCCGGAATTTTTTGTTTCATTTATTTTCGAAAATTTTTGCATA